GCATTCGCCACAGCCAGCTCATTCGATTGAAAATTCCTCCTCTCCTCACCAATTGAATCTAAATTTTCATTGATCTCCTTCATTTTATACAAAATCTTGGAACGAAACAGAACATTATCGACAAGATGGTAACAGGTTAAGAAATAACTGCGTACCTTATCAAGCAATCCAAAATTATAGGCTCTGGACTCCAATCGGGCAGCTTCAGTTGCACACTCGTCCAAGACCTCGTCTATATCATAAGCTACTTGTTTGAGCTTCTGCAACCAATTTTTTATTGCCCTGTCTTGCAGCTGCTTCATCTCAGCATCTTCGAGGATTGCCTTGATAGCAGAGAGAGCTCGAAAGCCTTTTCATCTCCTTATTAACACCCCAAAGCAATCCAATATTCGTTTGTATCACAGAGTACAAATTCTCAATCACAATTTGAAGAAGTGCTTCAGCCATTGTCACTTGATTATTGCAGATCAAAAAGCTTACAAAATGCGAAGTAGTAGTATTGTTCTAGGAGATGGAACATAACATGAAAGGAATAGAGTATATATTCCGCGACCACGGAATTTTTTTTTAGTAATGTTAACATTCGGAAAAAACAAAAAAATAAAAAAATTGCATACATGTCATTTCCATGCTAAGCATTATTCCAAAGACAGTATGAGTGACCCTGCCAGCTGGCAAGTCTCTTTTGGATGATGCTAACAGTTCTCATGGCATTTGCTCCGGTCAAATTTGTGTGACACCATGCAAACTACCCCTCCACAAGGATCGGGTAGAGCTCAGGTTTTTAGTCTCAAATGTAGCTCCTAAGGAATTGTTTGGACTCAATAAAAGTCGAACTTTAAACCTAATAATTTATGAGACACGACTTACCACTTGAACCAACCCGTTAGAATTATTTATAACTTCATTCTTATAAAGCAAATATTGTTAGTGATGTTCATGATTTAGAACGCAAAAGGGCACAGAGTAGAAGGAATTTAGAGGCTGTAGGCCCAATATATAAGTGATTAAAGTTGACTCTTGCACTGCTTGTTGATTGAAAGAAAGCATATAGCATAAACCAAAAGAAAATTATGGAAAATTATCAAGAAGTTTTTCTTCTCTTATAATGATCAATAAGTCCTATAAAGTGCATATACAACTACCAAGTCCTATTTTTGAACCCTTTTTCCACCTAAGCTTTCAGTCTCTGGATATTAGTGCTATTTCGTCTATAAAGTTAGATCTATTTTACGAGAACTTCTACAATATTCTGGGTATGAGACACGACTTACCACTTGAACCAACCCATTGAATTATTCAAGTGAACCCCATCATCATATCCAATGGCTGAAAGACGTGGGTGTATAATATTTCTGAGTCTCCCAAATAAAATGAAAACTAGCTACCATGCCATGAATCTCTATAACTAAGTTTTATCGAGTCCGTAATAACCATTTTCATGTTCCCTCCCATTATAATCCACTAATGCATTGGAGTTTTACTTACGTAGTAACATATTTTCCGGATTAATTCTATCAAATTGTGGTTGAAAGAAAACATAAAGCATAAACCAAAAGAAAGCATAAATCACAATAAATATAAGTGATTAAAGTTGACTCTTGCACTGTTTGTTGGTTGAAAGAAAGCATAAAGCATAAACCAAAAGAAAAATATTGAAAATTATCAACAAGTTTTTCTTCTCACTTACTTATAATGACCAATAAATTTTATAAAGTGTATATACAACTATTAAGTCCTAATTTTGAACCCTTTTCCCACCTAGGTTTTCAACCTCTAGATATTAGTGCTATTTTTGTCTCTAAAGTTAGATCTATTTAATGAGAAGTTTTACAATATCTCGGGTACAGTACCCCGGGTTTCCTAGACTAAGATCTCGGGCTCTCTCAATTGTTGAATTATTCATCAACTAGACCCCATCACCACATCCAACAACTGGAAGACTCGGGTGTATAATATTCCCGAGTCTCCCAAATAAAATGAAAACTAGCTACCATACCATGAATCTCTATAACTAAGTTCTATCGACTCAAGTAATAACCATTTTCATGTTCCCTCCAATTATAATCCACTAATGCATTGGAGTTTTACCTTTCTAAAAAATAACTAAATAAATAAATAATTGGAGTTTTACCTATGTAGTAATGTATTTTCCGGATTAATTCTATCAAATAGTGGTGAATTGATGTTGTAGGTGATAATTTTGTGTCTGTATGAGAATCTATGTAACATGGAGAGTTTGGAAGCACTTGTCCTTAGGGCCAATCAATTATCTGGAATCTCCCAATAGTGTTACAATGAATTAAAGAGTTAATCTTTATTCATATGACAAACATTAATAATAATATTCCAAGCACATTGTACTTCTTTTCTTGATATTGGGGCATACCCAATTGCTAGGAATATGTATCATGATTTACATCATTTACTGCTGTAAGGTGATAAAGGGTTCGCATATTATTGCATTTCTTATAGTAAGATAATTCTTTCTCGAGGCGAAATTGGACTTGTCATTTAAAAATTGAAGCCCAACTCATTGGCTCGGGCGGGATTCCTCAACAAACTCATAAAAAGCTTTGAATGGTGGAGGAGGTGGTTTGGCTATCATCAGGAGTGGAGCTAAGATTTGAATTCAATGGGGCATAGTGGGAATTTTTTTTTTTTTAAAAAATAAGAATAAGAAGAAAAAAAAAAAGAAAAAAAAAAAGAATTTTGAAGGAAATAAATTAGAGCATGATTAAATAAGAGAAATTTAACCTTTTTAAAAAGATAATTAAATAAATTTAAAAAGTAAAAGAGAAAAAATAGAAAAAGTTTAAAAAAAATTGGAAGGTAATAATTTTAGGGGAGGCATAATATACAAATATATATATATATGTGTGTGTGTGTGTGTGTGCGCACGCGCGCGTGTGTGTGTGTGAAAAATAAACTAAAAATCATATATATACATAGGGCGGGGCCAGGCCGAGGGACGTGTGCCTCCCGGGCACACATTTGCTCTGCCCTTGGCTATGGTGGATGCGGTTGTGGTGGTGGTGGCACATGGCCTAGGTTTTTGATTTTAGTATAACAATATATATATACACAATATTAAATATATAGTAAAATATAATTTGACGAATAACATAATAATTTTAATTTGATACTCAAAAATTGTAATAGTTATAAGTTAATTTGTTTGGTCTTATGGAATTAAGAACGAAAAGAAAATCAACTCTCTAGTGCATGTCATTTACATCTAGGAATTGTGTTGATCGAGATAATAAATGAAGACTTTAATGTTTGCCATTATCAGGTCTTCCTTGACTCCACTATGTAACATATACGTTGAGGAGCCAAAATGAGACTTTATTTAGTAACAATCACACAGCAGTTGACTGTGACCAGTGGTTTGCATAAAGAGAAAATTACACGATAAATTCAATTAGAATTACATACTATTGACGTTATGAATGGGAATCCACAGTAGGCAGGATTTCGGTCTTTCGAATCAAATAAGAATCAACATTCAATAGGAAGGGGGCTTACCTATTTTAAGAGTCGCTTTACAGATTAGCCTTAGCATTAGCATATACTACCACGCAACTCCTTGCAAAAGATGCGGAAGAACCCTAACACCCTACATAGTGGTATGGATGAGATGATGACAACGAACAAACGTATATATATGTACCACCAACATATGTATATATATGTACTACAACATAATATAAGGGTAGAATTGGCATTTTCAATTTTCAGCATATGCACGTGACTATTTTATGGCCAAAGTTTACCGGAATGGTGTCATTTGGCTTCATTTTTTTTTTTTTTTTTTTGCTAAAAGTGTGATAGTTTAGGGAATTTTTTGTTAAAAACATAGTTCAGGGAGATTTTTTGGAGTGAGAGAATAAAGTTAGGGGATTTTTTTTTTTTTGGTAAATAGTTTAGGGGATTTTTTTTCACTTTACCTTATATAATATATATTATGATTTCTAATGACTTGACATGTGGCCATTGTAGGATCACCTCATTGGCTTGACTTGAGTCTTTTGGTGGAATGACTTATTGCACCAATTCCATAGTAACGATGACTCAAGTCTTTTGGTGGAAAGACATTGCATCAATTTTAAAGTCACAAATCACAATGCACATGTTTCATGCATGTCTCAAAAAATAAAAAAAATAAAAAGTCATTAATTGAAACTTCAAAGTCTTGTGTCATCGCTATTAGCCTCACAAAGACTAAAAGATACAAATTGAGTAAACTATTGTGATTTTGTCAGTTCAGTCACATAAGTCAGTCAGAATTATCCAACTTTCGAATTCTAAATCATTATTCTTATAAATTTTTATATAAGATGTGTATAATGTATAAAAAGTAAAGATGTGAAATGATTTGAACTAAAATTTAACAATAACTAGAAAAAAATCTAAAACAAAGTTCCCACCTCATAACTAGCATGCATGTGCTTTTGCATAAACAGGAGAATAAATTGGAGGATAGGAAACCAATTGTCATTGTCTGTGCCATATGAATACATTAATGATTTGTCTGTGCCATCTGCATACATTAATGATGCTTTATAGTAGTAACCTGAATTCATTGCGAGCTTCAAAGTCGTCTGCTTCTCTCTCTCTCTTGTCTGTGTGTGTGTTTGTGTAAAATATAATTTGATGAATAACAGAATAATTTTAATTTGATACTCAAAAATTGTAATAGTTCTAAGTTAATTTGTTTGGTCTTATGGAATTAAGAAGAAAAAGAAAATCAACTCTCTAGTGCGTGTCATTTACTTTTAGGAATTGGGTTATTGATTAATAAATGAAAAAGTCTAAATAGAGTTGGTAAATGGTGGACTAATAATTGTTGGTGTACTAATCCTCTGTGGAAGTCTTTGGCGTTAATTTGGGGCAAGACTAATGAATAGTAGTAACTTCTCTGCAAACGACTTCACGAATGCTTATAAAAGACAGCTGTGTGAATACTACTACTATCATTGCATATCTTCAAGAACACAATGGCCAATAATAGCACATTTCTTAGTCTGCTTCTTGTTCGTCTCGTTTTTCTTGTAATGTTGTTTTTAGGGTCATCGTCATTTTTGGTGAACAATATGACTAAACACACCTCTGCCAAGTGCATTGAGATAGAGAGGAAAGCACTCGTCAACTTCAAACACGGTCTCAAAGATCACGCGGGTAGCCTTTCTTCTTGGAAGGGCGAAGATTGCTGTCAATGGAGGGGCGTCGGATGCAACAACATAACCGGACATGTCGTCAAGCTCGATCTCCGAGGCAAGGCTTTTGATCCAAATCAGGAGGATGATGTACAGAAGACATTTGAATTACATTACCGAAGGTCGCGTTTGGGAGGTAAGTTAAGTTCTTCTTTGCTTAAGTTGAAATATTTGAATTATTTGGACCTGAGCTCCAATGATTTTGGAGGAATTCGAATTCCTAAATTCTTGAGTATGTTTGAGAACTTGAGATATCTCAATCTCTCTTCTTCCTTGTTTGGCGGTGAGATTCCACCTCATCTTGGAAATCTATCCAGCCTGAATTATCTTGATCTCGGGGTGTACGGCTACCTACACACTTCAAATTTGAAATGGCTCTCAGGTCTCTCTTCTTTGAAATACCTTAACATGCAAAGCTCGGAAATCAGTGACACTAATTGGCTGCAATTAGTTAATATGCTTCCTAACCTCATGGAGTTACACTTGCCTTGGTGTGGTCTACCGAGCCTTCCACTCTCACTCCCGTTTGTTAACTTAACTTTGCTTTCGGTTCTTGACATTTCTGGTAATGGGTTTAACTCCTCAATGCCAAATTGGTTGTCCAATCTCACGAGCCTCACCAAACTTGATCTTAGCTATAATAATTATTTTAGTGGTGTCATTTCAAGTGAATTCGTGAAGTTGACGTCTTTGGAAGACCTTGATTTGTCTTATAATAGTTTTGAAGGTCAAGTACCAATATTTTTTGGGAATCTTTGCAAGCTTAAAACTTTACACCTTCAAGTAAACAATTTCAACGGTGAGGTGGTTGAGTTTTTTGGTGCATTCTCGGGCTGTCCAACCAGTAGCTTAATGTCACTAAGTCTAGCAGACAACTCTTTTGAAGGGGAACTGCCCGATTCAATAGGAATACTCAACAATCTTCAACGATTGTATCTCTCGGGAAACTCTTTCTGGGGTTCAATTCCAAAATCGATTGGAAATTTGTCATCCTTGCAAGAGTTTGGTCTCTCTTCCAATCAAATGAATGGAACCATTTCTGAAAGTTTTGGACAGCTCTCAATACTCAGATCCTTATTTCTCGAAAGCAATTCATGGGAAGGAGTCGTCACAGAGACCCAGTTGATGAATCTCACAAGATTACAAGATTTTACAATATCAACAGAAAAATTCGGATCCTTGATTTTCAATGTGACATACGACTGGGTACCTCCTTTCAGGCTCAAATTTCTTGCAATAAAAAACTGCCTGGTGGGTCCTAGATTTCCGGTATGGCTTCAAGTTCAAAATGAAGTCACTGATGTGACCCTTAAGAATGTTGGAATTGCAGATACCATTGCCGAGGAATGGTTTTCCATGTTGTCTTCTCAAGTTGTCTATTTGGATCTGTCTAACAACCAAATAAAAGGGAAGCTACCAATCCATTTAGAATATCCAGAATTATATTGTATTTACTTGAATAATAACAGTTTTGAGGGTTCGCTGCCACTTTGGTCCACGAATGCGTCCATTTTTTATCTTCATAGCAACTTATTTTCGGGGCCAATTCCATCGAATATTGATAAATTGATGCCGAAGGTAAATTATTTCTATCTATTTGAGAATCGTCTAAATGGTACCATTCCATCATCGATCTGTACACTGGAGAGTTTAATAGATCTTGCCTTGGGGACCAATCAATTATTCGGAGAGCTCCCTCATTGTTGGAACGAATTGCAAATGTTAAGTTTTTTGGATGTAGCGAACAATAGTCTTTCAGGTAATATTCCAAGTTCAATTGGTTCTCTAAGTTCTCTTGAAACATTATTGTTGAGTAGCAATAATCTAAGTGGACAAATTCCTCAATCCTTGCAAAATTGTTCAATGATTTGTATCATTGACCTTGGGGGAAACAGATTAAATGGAAAACTACCTTTGTGGATTAGATATAATACAACTCCATTTCTTGAGTTGTTACGCCTACGATCTAACTCATTCAGAGGAAGCATTCCTCAACAATGGTGCAATCTTAAAAGCCTTCACATCCTAGATCTTGCACACAACAATCTTTCGGGGGTCATTCCCACTTGTTTCGGAAATTTATCATTATTGGCTACAAATAATTCATTTGCAATTGGAGTGGAGCAAATAAGTTTGGTGGCAAAAGGAAGAGAGCTGAGATATGGCCGGACTCTACAATATGTCAACAGCATTGATCTTTCAGCAAATATCCTAGTTGGTAAATTCCCTGAAGAGATAACAAACCTAGTTGCACTTGGTACCTTAAATTTTTCAATGAATCGTCTGTCTGGACGCATACCAGAGAACGTTGGAAATTTGCGATTTTTGGAAACCTTAGATCTTTCAAATAACAATCTCTCAGGACCAATTCCTCAAAGTTTATCTTCACTGACACTTTTGGCCCACTTGAATCTGTCTCACAACAACTTGGTAGGAAAAATTCCAACTGGCAATCAGCTCCAAACACTCGATGATTCGTCAATTTATGAAGGTAACCCGTTACTGTGTGGGCTTCCTCTTCCAACCAAGTGCCTAGGCGATGTTACATCTAACGTGCCTCCTCTCAATGGAGGTGATCTGAATGATCGTGACAACGGAAATGATCTTGACATGGCATGGTTCTATTATAGCATGGGACCGGGATTTGTTGTCGGATTTTGGGTTGTTTTGGGTACTTTGTTGATAAAGAAGACATGGAGGCATGCCTTGTTTCAATTCGTGGAGAACATGACCGAAAGGATAGCCCTTATGATTGCATTGAGAAGGGTTCGTTTGTAATCTATTTTGTTTTCAGGGTGTATCCCTGTAACTATGTGTGTGTAACCCATAGGCAAGTGCAATCCTTTGTGATTTGCTTGGATGTGTAATTGTGTGCGCAATAATATATACATTGTGTGTGTGCAATAATACATGCATTGTCTTGTAAGTATATGTGTGTAACCCCCATAGGCAAGTGCAATCCTTTGTGATTTGCTTGGACGTGTAATTGTGTGTGTGCAATAATATATGCATTGTCTTTTATAATTCCATCACATTGCAAATTGTATACCACTCGAGCCTGTCGCAAAATAAGCTCCTGATTTCACTCACCTACTGACTATTGCAATAATATATGCATTGTCTTTTATAATTCCATCACATTGCAAATTGTATACCACTCGAGCCTATCGCAAAATAAGCTCCTGATTTCACTCACCTACTGACTATTGCTAGATTAATTTAAAATTAAAATTTTACTTAGTGGGACAAATAGGATTTGTTGTTGCTCCTTATATTAAAATATTTGGTTTAGTTTTGTTAAAAACAGATTTTTTTTTCAAATATAATTTTTGAAAAATCATGTGACACATACAAGTTTACATATATTTATGAGATGGGGAATTCAATTATGCTAGTGAAAATTATTCTAGAGACTGAAATATCCGCAAAATATTGTGATTCCCATAAGAAATTACTATTAAATTTGAATATAATTTTGATTTTTATAATAAATGTAATGCACCGAATATTTCAATATCCACATATATAGATAATCAATTTTTTTAAAAAAATTCAATACAGCCAACAAAGCTAAAATCTAAAATCTAAGAAAAAGAAACACAAATATCAAAGAAATAATTACAATACAGCCCACCGAGCTAAAATGTTAGTAAGTTGTTTAATCACATGAAGAAATTATTTTTTTTTATTTTTTTAATCTCACAAAGGAGGGGAAGGAGACCTCGAACATGAGCATATCTGCTCGAAGAGCTGGGCACTAAACCAACTAGTTCACTGGATAATAACCTATCACATAAAAATAATTAAGACAAAAATGAACATAGAGAAGTGAAATCAAGATGTTAATTAAGAACCAAACTCTCACATAATCAACTAGTTCACTGGGTAATAACCTATCACATAAAAAAAATTAAGACAAAAATGGACATAGAGAAGTGAAATCAAGATGCTAATTAAGAACCAAACTCTCACATAATCGTCCAGATCCATGGTGTTTCATCCCCCAAAATCCGTGGTGTTCCAATGCCAACCTAGCATCATCACAAACACATGAACAAAACTGAAAATTGACAATATGATATAATGGTAGTTCAGAGAAAACAATAATAGAGAAGGGTAGTTGGCAATATATTATTGCCATTCATATAATATATATATACATATATATATATGAATGGCAATAATATATCCAAATAAAAGATCTCTACTGTTCCATCTCCTCAAATCACTTTACCAAACCTAATACACGGTGTCACGTTCCTAAACTTAGTGGTCGACTCTAACCCAACCTTACCAACCATCCGAAAGAAACCCAATATACACAATAAACAGGAGTGAGCCAACCAAATCACGAGCTCTAATTTGTCACATGCCTCTCAGGAGTGAGTACTTGAAAAGATATAAAGGAGAAGTTCAGAAATTGCTAAATACAATCCTTGTTCAACAAATCAATCCAACCATGTACTTTCATGTATAAATACAACTCATATAAGGTACATTAATCAAATATAATTTATCTCTAATCACTTTATATACATTATCACCATTCATTTCATATAATAATTAATATTCTATCCATTTATGACCCGCCGCCATTGACGGATTGGGAATGGGTTACTTACTCATTCATACTCAACCCATTCAAACTTCTGATAGCAAACTTCTGATATTGTGATAGCAAACTTCTGATATTGACTTTATTTTTATTTTTTTTACTTTTGCAAACTTGATCTTTTGTGATAGCAAACTTCTGATATTGACTTCAACTGTCAACAAATTTAAAATGACAAACAAGTTCAAATTTTTTTTTTAATCCTCAAACAAGGTTTCTTTGACTACCATATTAAACTGAAAAAAAACAAAGATTAACTTAATTCGATAAATGGTTATAAAAACCGACTTACCGGAAAAAATAAAAAAAATTACAGAATTTGAAAAATGATTCTCTACTTAATTCAACAAATGTTCTATTCTATCAATTTACTTATATATATATATATATACACACACACACACATACATACATACCGAGATGCAAAAATCACAAATTGAATACAAAATATAAGCAAGCATTCAGTATGAGTAGGAGGTTATGTATTCCTTTCATGAAAACAATCGGAATATATGTTTAGTTCATCATCATTATGCTTGCTTTATCAACAATTTTAATTTTTATATATATATATATATATAGTAAATATATATAAGTTATAATGAGAACAATAAACAATATTAAGATATTGAAACCATCAGAAACATTGGATGATAGCATCAATTATGACACATTGAGGTGTCTCAGATGACCGTCGTGAGAAACTTATCCAAAATCATCATCTGATTTCACTGTTTCTATAGAATCATAAATGAGAGAGGAGAGAAAAAAACACATAATGCATAAATATATGTGTATGTATGTACATAATCAAACAGACAGATATAGATCAGAGAGGGTGAGAGCAGAATGGACTGAAAAAAAGAATGATTATTGCTTTAGTGACTGCTGTGAGACCACAGGAAAATAAGAGGAAATTTAGAGCTTCAGTGATTATATATTTATAGAATCATAAATATTATAAAATTATGTTTATTTATTATTTATATATATATATATATATATATATATATATATATAGGAAGTTGAAGGGTGAGGCAGAGAGAGAGAGAGAGTGAGTGAGAGTTATCAGTGGGAAAAAAAATAATAATAATTTGTTTGAGCGGGTTAAGATGGATACCCACATTTAACATAATAATCATCATAAGGTCATCCCTGTCATCCCTGCCATTCCCTCCGACTCTCACCTAAAGTAATAGTGTGAACCAAGGTTATTAAAATCGGGGATGCTAACCAACTTTTGGGAGAGATGCTAGTGCTTCTAACTTAGATGTTACTAATATATGAATTACTGAATTATAAGATAAAGTTATAAATATTATACACTTAACAAAATTATCAAATTTATATCCAAAAACAATAGAACATAAACATAACAGATTAACAAAGGTACAAGTACAACTAGAGCTACAAAATGAACCGAGCCGTTCATGAACGACTCGGGCCCGACTCGTTAAAAGCTCGATCCGGGCTCGTTCATGAGAGCTTGAACACATTTTTAGGCTCGTTAGGCTTGTGAATAGGCTCATTTAAGAAGCCCATATATTCTTATTTTTATATTAAATTAAGGTGCTAGCCCATATATATTAGAAGTGTGGCCCAAAGTTCTTTATGTTTTAAGCCTGCTTGTTAAGGCCCATAAAACTAATACCATATGAGCCATTAGATTACATTAAAATCCAACGGCCCTAAACAAACTTTAGTACAACATATATTCACTTCACTTTCACTTGAACCCTAATTGCCGCATCGACAATCGCCTCCTCTTACGCTGGTTATCTCCCCATCCTCTATCTTCTCACTCTTTCATCTTTCTCTCAAATATCTTTCTATCTTCTCACTCTTTCATCTTTCTCTTAAATATCTTTTCTACCTTCTCACTCTTTCATCTTTCTCTCAAATATCTTTCTATCTTCTCACTCTTTCTCTTTCATCGTGGTCTCAACTTTGAAGATCGACCAACAAGTGCCATACACATCACCAACCCAGAACACAGACGATGGTTGAGAATCAGGCGCTGACGGAGATCGACGACCATGGGACTTTCATCTTCTGAGTATGTGTGTACATATATAAACAGATCTTGGGATGTTTTGTGTGTTTATACGCATGTGGTTGTATATATATATATATATATATATATATATATAAACGAGCTTGAGCCGAACCGAGCCCGAGCCCGAGCCCAACCAAACAAGGATGAGCCGAGCCCGAGCAAGCCTTTGATTTTCGGCTTGGTTCATTTGCAGCCCTAGGTACAACTGATCAAGAAATACCAATGCATAATCAATTAGGAACATCTGAACAAGAAAGTAAGAAACCAAAAAAAGGCTTGATGTTGAAGAGCAACTGAATTTTGAGTCTTCAATGTTCCCCAAATTCAGAATTTCGTCTTTATCTTTACTGTTTTGGGCAACAAGATCATTGGGATTTCTTATTAAAAGAGCCCAACCCATCAAAACAGTGTATAACCCCAAAAAAACATGGCACACAATAAAATTGTATAGAATCGGTAGAATCTTACGATTCTACTGTAGGATTCTACGCTTTTATCATAGGATTCTACACAAAAGGGCGATTTTCATGCAATTTAACTTGTTTTGGGGGACTTGTTTTGGGGGTCTAGGGCACGATTCTACAAACTAGAATCACGATTTTAACAACTTTGATTCAATACATTCTCAAGCATTGTTCGCATCCTCAAAAGTGTAATCATCCATCTGATATATCATTTACAATTGTACAAGCATTATCCGCCATCTAGGTAAAGTGTTTTGCACTTATAGAATTAACATTCCAAGCATGAACTCAAAACTTAGGAAGAGTATATCTAAAATTCATTATCCATATTCAGGTATACCTGTGTAACTCTGCTTCCCCAGACTCTCTAGTATTTTGAATAGTATTTTGAAGAACCAATTTTTGGGTAATTATATTATTAAACAGCCTATGAGTCAGTCTAAAATTACTTGATTAAGTAAATTTTTATTTAGAATTAGCAACTATATTTTTTTGGTAATTTATGAAATTTTCTAAAACTCAATTCTATTGTTCTCTAAATTTTATTAATTATAAATACTATTAGATGGATCAGAGGGTAGGCCCATCATGCTGTCCTAAGCATGTGGAGTCAGGAAGGTCCATTATGCCGCCAAACCACCACCCA